GGCCTCACCAATGCCCCACCGACTTTTCAAGCGGCGATGACCCAATGCTAGACCAGTTTGTGCTGGTCTACTTGGACGACAATTTCGTTTATAGTCGGACCTTGGAGGACCATCTCGAGCATCTTTGACGTGTGTTGGAGACGCTCCGTCGTGCAGTACAAAGCCAACCGTGACAAGTGCGAGCTCGTATGACAAGAGTTAGAGTACTTGGACCATTGGCAACACAAGATTTAAGCTGTCCAAGAGTGGTTGGAACCAAAGAACGTTACGGATGTCCGCTCGTTTCTCAACCTCGTCGGCTACTGTCAACGCTTTATGAATGGCTATTCGAAGATTGGGGATAACTTAACCAAGCTTCAATGCTAGTACCGACCGTTTGGCTTCAACGATGATGCGCGGACTTTTTTTGTGGCCCTCAAATCCGCCTTGCTATTTTGGAGGTTTTACTCATCTATGACCCTTTTCCCGACGCACGTCACTAGCGATGCGTTCGGCTATAGCATTGGTGTCGTCCTCGAGCAAAACGATGATGTGGATTGGCACCCAGTCGAGTGCTTTAGTACGAAGGTGCGCACCATGCGCTCGATCGACGATGCACGGAAGGAGATTTTGGCCTTCGTACACGCGCTTAAGCAGTGGCGGCATTTTCTTCTCGATCGAAGTCAATTTGGATGGGTAACAGCCGTTGGTCTTTTACAAGACCCAAAACACGGTTAATAGTACCAACGCCCATCGGATGGCGCGGTCTACTCGACGTTCGAGGTTGACGACGACCTGCGGATTCTCACGGTGCCAAGTGATCCACAATTGCATCGATGACTTCTTGGTGTTTTCCACGACGCTCCCGCCACCCGAACAATTGGTGGCTTTGGTGGCCTAACCTTCTTGGTGACGTTTTACGCTATTGTGAGTCATGCGAGGTTTGTCGGCGATACAAATCCTGCAACCATCGTCCGTTCGGCGAGTTTCGACCATTACCGGTCCCCTTTAAGATAGCGGGAATCGATTGCCATGGACATCACCAGGCTTTTCACCAAGCACAAGACCGTCATGGATAGGATCGTGCTTGGTGTGACGAAAGGAAGAGAAACCGCAATTATATAGTATCAAAATTACCTCTACAACACTACGAGACCAAGGAAACAACTAGAAAACAGAACGGAAATGAACTGGTACTAGGATGGACCAGCGAAAAAGGAGGGGTACCAATGGTCACGAGGACGATTTGTGAAACCATGCACCCAGGGGCCCCAAGTTCGCCATGTCTTTGCCTTGCCGCTATCATGCCAAGGCACCGGAGTTAGCCGAGGTTCTTTTCGTCGGTTGGATTCGCACCAAATGTTATCCTAAGGAGATCGTTTGCGACCTCGACACGCGGTTCATGTTCGACTTCTGAGTTGGTCTCCTCAAATGATGGGGTGCATCTCTCAAGCCGAGTTCGACTCACCACCGACAAACCGATGGCCAAACGGAGAGGGCGAATCAGACCGCACAGGTTCTTCTTCGAACTCTCGTCCGTCCCGACCAAAAGGATTGGGTTGAGCGGTGCTCTGACGTCGAGTTGGCCTACAACTCGTGTATCGGGTTTTCGCCTTTCGAGTTTGACCATGGCTCGCTGGTCACGTCGCTGCTGGACACTATCATTCCACGGACGACCGGAAGTGATTCATTCGACGGATGCAAGAGCTCCTTGTCAAGCCACGGGAGCAAATGTGGAAGACGCAGTTGCTCATGATCCGTCAAGCCAATCGCCATCATCTTTTGCTCGTTCCGTGTGGGCGACCTTGTTTGGGTCTCCGCCGTGGAATTCAGCCTCGAGCAAGGCATCTCTTGCAAGCTCCTCTCGAAATGGATGGGGCCTTGCCTCATTGTAGCGCTCACAGGTGATGCACCGGAGGGGCCTTTGCGCATTGTAGTGCTTGCTGGTGACACACCAGAAGGACTTTCATTCATAATTTAGGTGCCCGCCCGCTTGCCCGTCCACCCGGTCTTTCATTGTTCAAAGTTAACTCTGCTCATTATCCCATCCTTGTGAATGATGATTCTTTAGAGTTTATATATCTTGTTTGYCATTTAATTACTCAAATAGTCAATTACTCTCGTATCGTATAATGAGACTTTTCTTCAAATTAGTTTGGAAAGAGGTTGTACTTACGGGTGACGATCGCAAGACCAACCCTCCATGGATGGTTTTTAGGAGGTTGTAGACATCATTTCCCAACGGGGCAACGACAACAAGCCGACCGAGTACTTAGTACATTTCTCCTATTGTAGCAGTAAGGCTGACCGTTGGGTGACCCGTGCGGAACTCCAAGCAACAGTCGAAGTCCTTGGACGTTACGAACGCAAGCAGCAAGGCAAGCTGGCACCTTTGGCGCGGTGCTGTACGCGCGTCCAGGTCCCGCCTTCGGTGTTACATGCTGAGCCTGCACAGGGGCCCCTTTTTGGCGGCCCGATGGTTGTTGGGAGCCCCCAGGCTGCACGCCATTCATGCCGCGCCCTGGAGGCCCACGGCCAGCCTTAGGGCTGCAAGATTTGATTTGAGGCAGCATTTATTTGCATTTGAAACGGTATTCACCAATTCGTGGTAGCTGAGGCAGATCCCAGGGCTCGATCCCTAGTTCCCCAACTTACTTGTGTACAATACCTGCGTCAACTCGAAGAGTTGAACCTGCGACCTGTAGAACCGCCAGTGGTAGGTAGGTCTGTCGTAGGTCTATAGGTAGCCAGGATTCGATCCGTAGACCTGTAGATTAGAAGGCTAGCTGCAGTCCTTCTAGAAGGTTGGCAAGTGGTCAAGTGGTGCAGGCAAGTGGGCAAGTGGTGTGACTAAAGCAAGCCCATGTTGGAGACGAGGACAAGTGGCAAGGGCAAATAGTTGGACCCCAGTGCAACTGCACTGCGTCGTAGGGTAGTCGCCATGCAGTCATGGGAGAGTCTAGAAAGTACCAGTCCGGTCCAGCAAGTACCACKGGGGGGACTGTGTGCACCATGGGCCAGGGATACAGGGCAGACCAACGCAGCGCAGAAGTATAAATCARGAGGCTGCGTCCAGCCATTCATTCATTCCTGCGGATGCCATGCGGAAGCGCTGCCTTAGCAGCTTGTGCGAGGAGGTCTGCAGTGTGCCCGAAGACGAAGTGGGCAGAGAAGTGTAGTGTAGCGATAGGTAGTGGCAGTTAGCGCTGCCATAGCTGTAGCATAGCGTGTGTGTGTGTTGCGTATGATACTGAGTGTTGCGTGTGGGACATCCAGGGTGATCCAGAGTGCGAACAGTGAGTTGTGTGGGCGCCCAGTCGCCATAGCCAGTTGAAGAGAACTCATATCTGGTTACGATATCTTAAGTACTGTCAGGGCGCATGTCGCCAGTTGCTGTATCGCTGTTTGCATGCAAGACAAGTGTGAATAATCGGAGTGTGAATGCACATTTATTTATTTATTTGCTGTCCTATTTTTTTCTATTCTGGCGTCGTTTTGGACTCGCAGTTCGTTCGAACAGACTTTCGGTCTCTTCGGACAAAGGCCATGTTTAGGCCTTTTTCGTTGGCAGGCAGGCCCTTTCGGGCCAGATTCCTGTTTGTCCAGTAGCGGACACTCCCTGTTGCATCAGCAGGGAGGGCCTGGACGTTCGGCAGGGACCCAGGCAGGCCGTTTCAGGTCAGGACCGGAGGCACACCAGCGAGGCCCAGCGCTACATATAGCTGGGCCAGGCCGGGCAGACACAGTTCAAGTAGTTCACTGCTTGGGCGACATGCTGCTGGAGCAGCGCGACACAGCGTTGTGCTAGAGGTAGAGGAGTAGGTAGAGAGGGAGAGGGAGAGGCGGTGGCCATACCTGCATCGGCGGAGTACCTACCTGGGCGCCATAGCTGGACTTCTCGCCAGCAACCTGCAGCACAAAGAGAGGCACACCGACGAGTGTGGCGGCAGTTACCTGCAGGTGAAACGGAGAGGAGGACGACATCTTCTTCCGCCTCCAGTTCTCACCCTCCATCCTCCTCCTCCTCCTTCTTCTTCTTCTTCTTCTTCTTCTTCTAGAGAGAGAGAGACAGGTTACAGCCAGAGGTTACATCGGGCTATGAGGCCCATGATCTGATTCAAGATTTTTGTGGCAGACACTGATTCGTCATTCGGCAGGGAGACTATGTTTGGACTTTGCTATTGCGATCTTGGTCTTCTCCCTCATCTCCATCTTCATCTCGCCTCTTCCCCCATTTCCTTATACGTGGTATCTCCCCATGTGTGTGATCAATTTGCGGTCCCTTCTCTCTCTCTCACATGTGTGATGTATGATGGGATGTCACGTCACTGTCTGACAGGTCAGGTCATATCTTTGAGTCTTCCGTTGCGTGGCATGTGCTATTTTTGTACGTATCTGGATGTACACTGCTTGTTGATGCTTTGCTGACGCTGCATTGTCCATTCGAGTCCTTTTCATCACTTTGCGGATCCTTGGCTCCATATACATCGCTTGATTGAGCATGTATCAGGAATTCAGTTGCATGCAGGTGGTCGATTAGGAGAGTGAGGTCATGGGTCATGGGTGTTGTTGAGTGGAAGAGTGCTATAGCATCCCACAACGAGCGCCTCTTGAGAAGGAGGAAAGAATGAAGGGACTCCAAAACTGAGCGTGCCCCACCAACGAAGTACCTTTTAGCATCTGCACAAGAGTTTCTCTCCAAAGATTGTGAAAGATCGATGGAGAGAGAACAGTCATGCAGCCTGTTGATTCAGTGTAGAGCTGTTGAGGAGGGAAACTGCAAGGGGAGTGGGTATGATAGAAACTGCAAGGAGCTAAGTGTGAAAGTGAGTCTGTCTGCATGAGGGACATTATATAGCTGGATGAATTGTAAACATACTTTAATTCTGAGGGTTGCTGTTGGCTTACCTAATGGTAGTGGTGAAAAGCATGAAAATGAACTTTTGAGGCCTGGAGACCTCTCGGTCTGTGACCTGTGCTCATCAGAGTGCCTTTTGTGTTATGGTTTTTTCCATCTGCAGGACCGATTGACAGCTGCAATTGAGGGGCAGAACGAACATGAAGGGAGGGAAGGTGACGGGGGATATGGAGGAGGCTTCCTTGGACTGCCTGGTTCTGGTATTGTTCGGATACATTCGGGATTGCAAAGTGTTTTGGGCCGGAGCAGAAGGCTGGGCCAGCGGGTGCTAAGTCGAGCATACGGTGGAGGTGGACTTGATGGAGAGGGGGTTATGACAAGGCGGATGAGTTTTGCTCCCGGAATGCCGATGGAGCAGGTTTGTTTGTGTGCATGATGGCTGGAAATGTCTTACACAGGCTGTATTGCTTGGTTGTTGTTTTACCAATCTTTGGGAGAACTTCCGGAAGCAATCCATGCAATGATGTTTTAACCAATCATTGCCTTAACCTTGATCACCTGAGTGAGTTGGGCCCTTGTATGTTAGCCTGTTAGGTTATTTCATGCCTGGTATCTTCTGTGCCAATGTGGAAAATCGTGATGCCAGCAGCTGTACAGTAGAAGAGCTATGCAGTGCGACAAGATGCACTCCCATCCCCAGCATCTGAGAGTCTGTTATCTACTTCCTCTATCTATTGTGTCATGATGTTCAATTGATTGCATTGGCCTGGTTGTTCGGATGTTAACAAAGTGTCTTATATGTATAGAAAACCGTTGTCTTTGTACGGATACAGTTCTGCGTAACTGTGGTAAATTCTTCCTTCTCATAATGGTCCACAACTGGCTCATGATGGTGCATCCTCACACTCTCATCGCCTCAGGGCTGCTAAGCCATGTAATGAACTCCCTCAGTCTCCCCTCGCCACATCAGCAGACAGTCTCCTCTGACACAATCTGACAAAGAGCAGATCTCATTGTAGTGCTTGTCAGCGCAGATACCTCATGAAGACTAACAGCAGCGTGCAATGTCGACACGTCATCAACAGGTAAGCTCCCCTTGCATGAACCAATCTCTGCCCTGATCCTCCTCCTCCTCCAATCCCCAATGAATGCTGTAGACAGAGTATGGCCAATGCCACATGAGCATAGTCTTGATAGCAGACAGTGTGACCAGCGCCACGTCAGCATAGTCTCTGGTCCAGCTGGTGCCAAGATAGAGATAACTCCAGCATCAAGTAAACGCATAGCAGTCTCGCGTCGTTGTCCAATGTTAGGCCGCGCAGAGCCAGCGTTATGCCAGCGTAGAGCTAGCACTCAGCCAGCATCGAGCAGCAAGTGCAACACTGAATGACGGTCAGCAAGGCTGGGTCAACAAATAGTGTTGACTCAGCTTGTCCAGCCTCTGGTCGCATGGGTACGGCAGTCTGGATTGACCCGTAGCCGATGGCCTGGATTCCATGCAGTTGCAGATTCCCACTTGGACTGAATCCTTGACAGATACCTGCAAACAACCAAATTTGTTCCATGATTCGTTCAGCTTCATTGCCTGAATTTCCGAGCTGCTGTTGATCTTTGACTTTAGCGTTGAATTTTCGAGCTGTAATGACCCGCCAAAAACACAGACTGAGAACACTGCTGATTTCTGGGATTCGCCACTGGAATGAATGCCTTGCTGTGATTCCCGCATTCTGCTGTGATTTCCAAGTCTGTGTGTGTGTGCGTGCCTCTGGTTTGCATGCCTGTCTGAGTGCTTGTCGGTTGAGTGTGTGTGTGACCCACAAGGGTACTTGTTGGTTGCAAGGCCCCGCAGGGCTGGTACTTACCTGTGGCCATGACTTTGAGGGTTGCAGCGACACTTAGAGCAGCGGGGAAAAACACTCAAGTAGCAGGTAGGCCGGTACCACTCGAGTAGTGGTAGGAGTGTCGGGCACTGGAGGCCGAGCAGAAGAAGACAAAAAGTTGGCATTTTTAGAGGCCCAGTAGCGGTAGGATAGAGGTAGGCCGGTACCAGTCCAAGTAGCCCGGGTCTAGGGCCTGTCTGGAGGTTAGCAGAGCCTGCAATGATGTTTCTCTCCGAAAGGGAGGAGGTAGTGGTTGCTGGGAGGCCGCTCGGCCTAGGAAGTCACCGCCCAGGAGGCCAGTAGGCCGCTATATCTTTCGGAGGAGCAAGTAGCTCCTCCTCATTTGCGGTATGCAAGGATTGGCGACATGCTGCTGGAGCACAGCGCTGGCTGATACAGCGCTGCTTGGAGGTGAAGGGCAGCTGGAGCTCAACCTGGCTGTGGTGAGCAGTCTAGCTTGAGGAGGAGGAAGAAGGGGGCTAAGGAGGAGAGTGGCGAGGCACCTACCTGGCTATGGTGGACACCGTCTTGATCACCTTGTTGGGCGCTGCATCTGGAAGGCCCCAGTTGGGGTAGTGCCGCACCAAGGAAGCTCGAGGCAGAGTCAGGCATGGCGGACCAGTCAGCAGCATCATAGCTGCTTTGGGTTGTCCTTTGGACAGGAGTGCAGCGCCATAGCTGCTTTGGGTTGTCCTTTGGACAGGAGGGCAGGGCCCTCAGTAGTCCGCCATAGCTTATGCATGAGAGAGGAGGGAGAAGGAGGGAAGCCATAGCTATGGTGGACTTTTTGTTGTTGTTGTTGTTGAGACAGCAGTAAGAGGGAACTTCAGATATTGATTCTGGTTCATCCGTTCATTGTTATTATTATTATTGAGAGAAGAATAAGATTGGCGAAGTTGAGGAGGAGGAGGAAGGTGGAGAGAGAAGGGGGAATTGTCATTGGTCTTGCTGGTGTACATCTTCTTCTTCTTCTTCTTCTTCTTCTTCTTTCTCTCTTCTCTGGTCTTTATCCCTTTGCAAGTGCTTTCATTTCCTCGCAATTGGGTGGCATTGTCTTTCATTGTGAATTTGCACTTTGGAAATAACCAGGATCGTAACAATTGGTATCGGAGCGGACTTACTTGCTGGCGAGAGGTGTTAGTCACCCTAAACCCAATTCCGAGTTAGGTTAGGGCTAACCTAATCTCGGATTAGGGTTAGGAAGTTAGGGTTAAGTGGGGCAGTGAGGTATGTGGATACTGCCCCCACCTGGTTAGGTCATGTAGGGTCGACATCAGACCTGACCAGGTTGCTTGAGTGATTGGATGGGTGGCGAGACACAAAGGAGGCTGATTGGAGTAAGCGAGAGGGAGTAGAGAGTGAGAGGTACTCGCACCTGGAATCTGCACGTCAAGAAGACATTGACTTTTGGGCTTCCCCTCAAGAGGGAGACTTGATCGGAAGCTGCTATATCTGCACCGGAGAGCTGCAAGCTGCTACTTTGGTCTTCAAACATCGGCGGGGGATCCGGCGTTGCAACAGGGGTGTAGGAAGGCCCTCTTAGTCACGCTAGGACACTTCGTGTAGTGGTAGCTAGGGGCCAGGAGGACTTATGAAAGAGGGGGGTGAGTCGTTATCCATCTTTGGAGGCCGGGCCTCACAGGTAAGTGCCGTGTGACCTGGTTATGCCCGTGGGAGGTTGCTTGGTGCTTCATGGCCTGTTGGGGTGTGCTGACTCTCTTCCTCTTCTCTGTGGTCTTCGTTGTGTGTGTGAGCATGTGGATTGCTTTTTCACCTGCTGGATGGATGGATGATGTATCTGTTCTAAATGACATATCTTTCTACGGTGCAAAGTCTTTTCATTTCTGAACGGCTGTAGGGGTAAGTTCTTGCTGAAAGTTGTCTTTTCCTTTTCAGTACGGTAGAGGCAGTTTGGGACTGACTTGGTACACCTATCTCGTTGGTCCTGGTCCACGACCTACTTGGGACCTTCGGGACTCAGTGGGACCAGGCCCAACGGGACAGAGTCTTTCGGGCCCAAATCTGTTGCGGTCAATGCATCTCTTTGTTGTGCTGAATCTGGGGGACATACGGCTAGCAAGGGCATTCCTTTCAAGGGGATCTTCACTGGTTTTACTGAATGTTATCACATACTGCCCCGCGTCTGTCTCGGCGACTGTCTGCACCCCTCGAAATCTCCATTGCTGCAGTTAGTTTTCTTCGGCTGATTTATTG